ACACTCATACTTATTTTTTTAACCCCATTCCCAATAACCCGGCATTTTCACAAACTCGGCCACCCTTCGGTCCACATTAGGCCGAGTTTTCGAGAGTCTACTGTATTAAATTTGGTTGAATTTGGACTGCTGAATATCTTCCTAGACAGCATTGAATTGGTTTACTTTAATTATGATTATTGTGTACTATAACATATTATATACTTTTTTCTCTCAGTAATTTTTCAGTTTTTTTATTGCAGAAATTGAAAAGAGGAGGTCATTTGTTTTTTTTTTTTTGCACTCTCATTTCTTCAGATACTATTATGGATATTACAGTATTCCATTTCTTAAATTTTAATTTTATCCATATAGTTTGTATTTATTCATATATTTTAATGATAAAAAAAATATTAAATATGTATAAATTCACATGGTACATGACCTACCAGGATAATTTATGATCTTGGTAATGGAGAAAATAAAGCAAATGATGATTCATGCACCATACCGAAAAAAATATTTGTGGAAGTTAATACCCAAATATAATCTGATGCTTTGTTTGTTCTTTTTTTTTTNCGGCTGCCCGATGACGTTTTACGTATTATAGGAGTTATTTTTACCGTTGTTTACGGATAATGCCACAATTTTTATAGGAATCATAACTGTAGGAAACGGTTTTATAGGGGGATCTACTGTATAAGGAATATTCTAACACTGAGGCAAGCTATAAAAATGAACAATTTTCTTAAACTTGGTGAAGGAGCAATTGGTAGAATGGATCTGTGGTTTTTAGATAATGTAACAAGCTTTACTGATAACTTAGTTACAAAAGGGACGGATGATGTACAGAAACAATACTCATTTAGTGTAAAGGATAGATAGACCACAAGAACAACAAATGCATCATACTGATTTATTAAGAAAAAAAATGGACAGTGTCCATTTCTTGTTTTCTAATAAATCAGCTGAAGATGTTAAAAGATAAGTTGCATATTAGTGTGCTGTAGCTGTATGATTGTTTACCTGTGGCTGGAATGACTTACTGGGAATTATTGTTGGTGGAGTATTAAATTTATAATATATTCCAAACCTATGCAATGAACATCATCAACATAATGTAGATAAGACTGGAAAATTGAGGTGATGGAGGTCTTAAATATTGTGTATTCTTAATCTCTAATTAGTATTTCTGCCAAGATTGAAGAACCTGCTGGAAGACCATGTAAATAATTATATTATTGAACATAAGTAATAAGTTCAATCACATCTCTAATGCCATAGAACAGCATGTCTTTGTCTGTTAGCAACATTTTGGTAAGCATCCCACTTCAAATGTAGGGACGGAAGCAAACAAAAGATACATTAATCTTTAAACATGTTAAAGGATAATTGATTATCTTTATTCAAGAAATACAGCGATGTCATAGCAACAATGATAATTTGCTAAATTTGTTAAAATCTTGCTTTTTGCATCCCTATGTAACAAAGGTACTTATCTATTTTAATGCTTGCTTGACAATTGAATTCATTTGAAATATCTTGTTCTATTTGCTAACATTCTGTTCTTGACAAAGACATTTTGTAAGTGTTAAAAACGTTCAAAGTATTTTATTAAATGAGTTTTTTTGTAAATTTAACACCAACAAACTGACTAATTGTCTTTGTATTGTCTTAATTAAATGATGATTATTGCTTCATATTCATTATCCATTTGGCATTTGACTTATTTATTTTACTTTAAAATAATTATTTGAAGGAAAAGGAATTTTTGTTGCATAATTAATCAACTTTTTAAGTCTTTTCAAAATAATAATTTTTAATAAAATTTTCAATGAGTCTAAATATAAATTTAGGAACAAAACTAATATACATTTAATCTTCCTTACCCGATTTTATTTATTTGTTTTTAGTATAATCCTTTCAAAGTTCGAATTTTGAAGGAAAAAGTTAACACGCCAACTACTACCGTATATCGGTAAGAAATTTAATGACAATTATAAGTTTCAGTAAATCACTTTTTGAAGAATTTTATTTATTTTTCACTTTATTGTAATTAATATTTTTCAGTTGTGGACCCCTTATTGATTTATGCAGGGGACCTCATGTACGTCACACTGGAAAAATTAAAGCGCTGCAAGTCACCAAGGTAAATTTTGTTAATTCAAGACCATATTTCACAAATTTTTATATATTTTTTAATCAGTAAATTGTAGAAACCATAATTGTAAAGTTAAAAATTTTCTGATTTGCTTGATTTCATCTAAAATGTATTTGCCTACAACACTGTATAGACTTATTTTCACAATACTGTGCTAAGATTTAGAAATTTTATAAATAAATTGACAGTTATAGTTCAGTTAAAGCTTATAGGAAATTTATTGATATTACAGAATTTAAATATTAATTGATTGAAATACTTAATTGACAATGTAGAATTCGTCAACTTACTGGGAAGGAAATGCCGAAGCAGAAACCTTGCAAAGAATATATGGAATATCATTTCCAGATAATAAACAGTTAAAAGAATGGCAAAAATTTCAAGAGGAAGCTGCAAAACGTGATCATAGGAAGCTTGGCAGAGTATGTTTTTATCATTTTTATTTAAAAACATGTAGTAGGGCTTCTTTAATTTTCTGATTAAATTTATTAGTCTTCTTTATATAAATTAAATATTAACGTTAAGTTAATTAAAACAGGTTTTATTATAGAAGTTAAATAATGTATTTTTAACTTAATTAAATCTCCTAAAATAAAGTCAAACAAGTTTCTGTCAATTTGGTCTTTGAGAATTGAAAATGTTTTTGATCGATCCAAAATCCATCTTATTATATCGTTTATAAGTTATTATTTTCATGAGAAGTAACAGGATAACTACTTAAAACCATCTACAAAACTTTCAATAGGTCAAACTGCTCCTGTTTTCCAGATGATAACATACTGGAATTTGTTAAATAAAGTTATTCAAGAGATAACTAACCAGAAGAAGTTCAAAACAACTATAAGAAAAACCCCCTCAGCCTAATTTTCAAAAAAGTGATGTTTTCTAACCAGCAAACCAATGCCTCTGCTGATTAAAAACTGTTTTTCCTGCATATTTAATAATTAAAATGCAAAAGATCATCCACCAAAAAGGAAAAGGGGGAAAGAAGAAAGAAGATAACATTGAAAAAGTACTATTTTAAAAGATGTAACATTGCCTTTTTTGCAATAGTGAAGTAATATTATTCATTGTTATTACTGCATTGCATTTAAATTGATTGTTAATCATTTGAACTATATTAGGTTTCGAGTTGTGGTTTTCTTCCCTGATGTATTTGTTCCTCTGTTGTTTTATTTTGTATATTTTGACACTTGGAAAAGGCCAACGGCCACAGCGTCATCTGAGATTAAAGATTTATTAGTTCTTAAGGTGACATATGTATATATGAAATCAATTGAATAGATTTAGTAAAACTACAATGTAAAATAAATGAATTTTTTATTAAAATTTTTCATAAATATTTAAAAGTATATCATTTTGATTTTTGCAAGTTAATATTGATTTAATGATCAACTGATATTTCTCAACAGTTTGTTATTTGAAACAAATCAGTGTCATTTTATTGTTAAAAATACATAATTTCAAATGATGTATAAAATGAATAAGCCAGTGATATGTATAAGGTCATATAATTTGTATTGTGCTATAACTTGAATGCATTTTTTTTACCTTTGAATAATTAAATAAATATTAACACTACTTTTATTAAATTTTGTTTTGGAAATTTTCAGGATCAAGAGTTGTTTTTCTTCCATGAATTAAGTCCTGGTAGTTGTTTCTTTCTTCCTAAAGGAGCTCATATATATAATACGCTTGTTGAATTTATTAGAGTAAGTGAATGTATTAAATTTGTTAAATATGAATAATTAATATTTAAGAGATTTAAGTGATTAATTTATAAATAAAATCTTGTTTTCTTAGAGTGAATATCGGAAACGAGGTTTCCAAGAAGTGATAAGCCCAAATGTATATAATAGTAAACTATGGAAAGTCTCAGGACATTGGCAGCATTATGCAGTAAGTAGATTTTAAGTTTTTTATTTAAATTCTAACAGTTATTGTACATTAGGTTCATGAATCTTGGCCAGGCTGTACCACAGTAAGATTCCTAGCAAGGAAGAGTTTATGAGCATGTTAATATAAATTTAACAACTACTACTATAGTTACGTTATATGTAATCTCTAAATATTCTAGAGCATCATTCAGATTACACACAGTTTCCATTCAAAATTTGTTAAATGACTTGTAATTATTTGAAAATTATTGCTTTAAAGGATGAAATAAGTAAATAATTAGTTTCTACTATACTTAATTTGTATCAAATGAACAGCTTGATTTCTTTATTGGGTTATTTAAAGCTAATCTAAATATATAAAATTGCTTGTCCTGACTGACTCATTCATTCATTCACTGATTCATCATCGCCCAGAGCAAACCGCTTAACCTAAAGAGGTGAAATTTGGTACACAGTTAGGGTACATCATGGAAACGCACACTAAGAAAGGATTTTTCGAAATTCCAACGCGGGGGGG